TGTTTCATTTTTGAATTTCAGTTGTCTCATTTGCAATTTAGAAAACTGGAATATGTAATGTTGGAGGTTCTTTGCAGCTTTAGTTATTACATAATTTATTCCGAAACTTAAAAAAACAATAAAAAAGCAAATTCTTATGTTCCTGAAGTTCAGATTGATTTAAGAATTAATTTTTAAAGGTTATTATTTAAGAATTAGTTTTCGAAGGCAAGTATTAGAGAATATAGAGTATATATTAATTTATCTATTACTAAATTGTATATGCCAAGGATTTTTATCTCTGAAATAATATAAAATATTTCTTTTGACCATTGTCAGTTCTTTTTTTCTATAGAAATATAATTATAATATCTGGACAGGATCTTTGCATTAGGAAAGTATATAGTATGTACAGTTTAAGTAAATGACCATGTTAACCTAAATAACAGCATTTCTGTATAAACAAATCAAACATTTGAATGAGAACAATGATTTTGATAAGACATACAAAGATGCATCGATTATATAAGAACATATATATTTTTAAGTGTACTGTCTCAAATGAACACAGAAGCAAACATGAGGTTACATGAAAAAAAAAATCTCAAATTTTAATTCATTAGCCTGAAATAAAGAAGTCTTCTTAGGCCAGTTTTACTATTAAAACTAAAGGAAAAAAAACAGTCTATTATTCCTAAACAGAACATCTCTACTTCCTGTCTTTCTTATTATCAGCTAGTCATAGTCATAAAAAAATTTTAAAAGTTTTTCACTATGTACTTCTATGCTAAAACATATGTATTTGTGATATCCTAAGTTGTAATAATATAAGTGGAGACCTAAACACAAGAATTTTTAAAAAGTCAAAATAATAAAGAAAAAATAGATGTTAACCTTTAGAAGGTGAATTTAAGGGTTACATTCTTAGAGTGAATATGGAAATGTATGGGTCAAATGAAAAATAATAAGACAAGTTCCTTGTTGTCTTACAATTTAAAAAAATTATTAATGCTTAAATGAGAAAAACAAACCAAAAAAAGCCCAAGACCCACAGGTTATATTTTCTCACTCATGGTACCTACAGTGAACAGGCTTATCATTATTCAATGAGTAACTGTAGAGGAGATTAACTTATAAAGATATAATATCAGTATTAAAATATTCCTAAAATATACTTTTGAAATAAGAATATAAATTCATTTTTAATTATTTTCTACTGCTTTTTAAATAAGTATAGTCATTATTTTCTAGGCCAGATCAGACAAAAATTTAACTGTGCTGATATTCATAATATTTATTCAAATCTTTTATGTTTAAGCACAGTATATCTCTAACGAAGAGGAAAAACTCACCAAATAATTGGTTAAGTCAAATTGCAAATTTGTAGTCGAGAATAATTCTTTATAATTTTAGACAGTATGGTCTTGTAAGAACTAATACGTTAATTAAACATAGGGTCAACTATAGACACTACAGGTATGTAATTCAAACATACTTATGGGACATTATATAAACTTTTGATACAAGTAATTTCAATAAAGGTACGTCAACATGAAAAATAGGCAAATCATTGTTTTTAATCAAAATATTAATAAAGCTTTACTTTTAAATGTCTAAATGGGTAATATTTTCCCCCACTGAGGTCATGAGGTCACATTTAGTCTTGAGTTATATGTTATCCATGATTTAAAATAAAATTCATTTTCCAAATCACATCATCTTTAAAATATAAGGATAATAATAATATGCTAGGAACAATCTAAGATTGAATTGTCTTTTAAATGGAAGTCCATTTTTTTCCTTGCATAATAAAAATGGAGAAACATAAAATAAGTTATGTTTCTTCTAACATTCAAAGAATTGAAAACTAGAAGCCATCAAGTCAGCCTAGAACAATTTCTATTCAAATTAGTTAATAATTTTGAATTTAATTGAATAGAACATGCATACTAAAATATTAAGAAACTTCAGCATTTATACCTTAGAATAAAACAGTTTTATTTGAGATTTGATTATTTTTGAAATACTCAGGAGAGAAAATTAAAGTTTATATTCTAATTGTTAATATTTTCTGTTAAATAAATATTTGTTTTAAATAAGAAAAACTGAACACTTTAAAATGCAAAATTCCTGAGTCAATCTATTTTAACAGATATGTTTATAAAAAAAAGTAGGCTTGCATATATAGCTTTAAAAAATATATAAAAGTGGCAAAGTAAATTTGGGAACTGTAAGAATGGACATTATAAGGATTTAGCACTAAATAGAGTTTCTTATTCTTGCTGTTTACCATTAAAAATAAATTTCACCACAATTAACCTTGGCCTGGCCTCTGAATTGGTTCTGTAATTAAACTAAATAAATAAACATACAAATCTCACCATTTGAGCTTTCCCTTTCCAGAAATATTTCTATTATTGAAAACTCATAATGTCACCCTCTCTTTCTGTCTTATCTGTGTTTCACAAAGTCACTTTTTTAGTTTGCATACATTGGTGAGGACATCAAACCTGGAAATTTCCTATTATATCAGACATGTTACCTGGTAGACAAAAAGTGGTTTAGGAACAGAGTCCTGCCCTACTAAGGTGTCAGTACATTTGTGTGGATTCTAAAGAGGCTGACGAAATGGGAAGAAGTTTAGATAGAGAAAGAGTAGCAAGGGATCATGGCACAGTGCCCAGGCCTGTGTGGGGTTTCATGGGGCACCGTGTAGGGGGAAAGGAAAATGGGTCAGAGCTGGATGTCTTGGATAAAAACACAATTTGCCAAAGGGGAGATGCTATGAAAAGGGGTTCAGAAGGTATTGTGAGAAAGAGCTATACTTTGGCTTCACACCCATTTTTCCTGCTATCTCACATCTGTATCTGTTCTCAACTTGCTTAATACACATTAATGAATTCATTCGTACATCAACATCTCAATACTATAAAGGTTCTCTTCTCTGAATATTAAAGGAAATTAGGTTGACTAGAGCAATAACTTTGGCTATTATTTAAAACAAATCTGCAACAAAATTTAAAATAACTGATGGTATGTATTATTTTTTACTTACTTTATAGACGGTTCCAAAAGCACCAGAGCCAAGTACTTTTACTCTTTTGAGCTCAGTTTCTTTCAAAATACGAAGTTGAGCTTGATTGGGTGCTGTGCCGCTGGGAGTTAATGGTTCTACCAACTATAAAACAAAAAGAATACAGGTTATAACTTTCATTCAACAATCAATACTTCTCTCTCTTTCTCTAAAGCTGGCTGGTTCTCTTTCTCACACATACAAAAACACACAAGTACATTTTTTCTTGAAAAGTATTTTAATAATATGGATCACTCACCATGCCTTCAGACTCTATCTTTTCTCTTCTCATGCTCTTTGCCTGGGTGAGTACAACTGACAAATGTGTATCTATTGGGTGGCATACTAGGCTAGGAGATCCCCCCCACCCCATTTTTATAAAAAATTAGAGACTAATTAGGGGCTCTTAATTCTACTTTTCAAGCCCCTTTCTTTTTGGCACCTTCAGCTAAGACTCAGAGATTTTTGTTATGTAAGAACTCTATCAAAGTTTTCTTTCTCATTTAAAATGATTTGATACATTAAAAAAAGAGAGAGAAAGAAACACTGCCTTCTTAGCATTTAAGATCTAGCTGAGAAGCCAGAACATACATGACAGAAGAGAAAAAAATAAGTTATCACAACACCAATACACATGGACAGTACTTCTAAAACTTTCATGTACATGTAAAATACTCAGGTTCTTGTTAAAATGCAGATTCTGGTTGGTTCCGTAGGACCAGGGTTGGGGCTGAAATTTGCATTTTACTGAACTCCACGTGATATCTATGTGTGATGATGGCCCTTGAACATATTTTAAGTGGCAAGGGCCTAGTTACCTTCTAGATCAAAAATTATAAAATTCTATAAATTGATGTTAGATCATGTGAAGGCTAGGAAATGCAAAGAAATACAATAAGCACCAAGGAGTAAGGTTCATTAGTTTTGGCTTCCTAAAGGAGGAACACTTTAAAATTAGTCTTGAGATGATAAAAATGAGTTGGCATAAGCGAGGGCACTGTCACTGTGAAGAATAGTTTGGACAGAGCATCAGGGAGAAGGAGGAAGACATAAAGGGGACTACAACAGGGAGTGGAACAGATCTGAAGGGTGGCTCTAGGGTGGGAAACGCCAGATCATGAAGTGTGGCTGAAGCGGGTAAAATTAGACTGATAATGCTAGCTGTCATAATTCAGATGCCATTCAGCCAGAGAGGATGAATAAGCAAGGGGAGCAAGGGGAAAAGTATGCGAATATGTGCCAATTTCTTGCCTATGTGAGAAGAAAAAATGTAGACAATGGAGAGACTGTGTACCAAAAAGTTTATATCCTATGTTAAAATTTTAGGTTTTTATCTATGCTTGAGGAAAAAGGCAAGTGAGAGAAATAGGAGGTTTGTTGTTTTTTTTTAAGTTAAATAAAGGAGCTGAACTTTAAACACAGACAAATAGTTTGTTCTTTCTTAGCATAAGGAAATAATTAATGGCTACTCCTACTCAAATTGTCCTGAAAACCACCACGGTATTTCAAAATGTCTGTTTACAAGGCTAAGTGCACTGTGGACCTCCAGCTTGGTTATTATTATCATGCTTCTGTGAAGATTATGGTGTACTTACTTAGCCAAACAGAGTTTTGAGTATAGGTAAGTTTAGCAATGGCAAGAATTTTGAGAAGAAGATGATAAAAATTATCAAGAAACTTAAGTTATTTTCCAGCAGTTAGACAACTAATATACTTCTATTTCATTTTCAAATTTATATTGTAAAAATGAATATAACTGCATCCAAGTCACATAAAACGAATCGTAGAATTACAAAACTCTTTGTTAAATCTGAAAAAGAATCTCCCATAAAAATCTTCATTTGAATTAAATTCTGTTGTGTAGGATTTATTTATTAGATTTTGATACACATACTAGGTGCATAATAAGAAACTTCTATGATTTAAAAAAAAATTTGTTATTTTTTTAAGCCTACAGCACCTGGTATTCCCAGGTGGTCTGCCATCCAAGTACTAACCAGGCCCAATCCTGCTTAGCATCCGAGATCAGACGGGATCAGGTGCATTCAGGGTGGCATGGTCATAGACATAAATTTTTTTTTAAAAAAAGGTACAAAAGTTATATAAAATCATAAGCAAGACTGGATTTCAGCACTTCGGACTAAATACACTTACTATATATTATATACATACATACCTTTGGCATATAGAATGTAATAATTTCATATTTGAAAAGCTTCACAATTCTATCTGCAATGTTTCGTCTCCTGCTATTTTCTTAGGTATCATTTAAAATTTTCTTAAAACACATTTTTCCAAGAATTTGAGTATCATATCTTTAAAAAAGGCATAGTTTCATTTTGTGAGCTAGTATAGCAGAAAGAGAATTGAGTTTAAATTTGTAGATTTGTATACAAGTGCTGCCATTCACAGGCTTAGTAAACAATTTAGCCCTCCTGGACCCTCATTTCTCATCTGTGAATTTGGTATAGCAATAATTATCTTAGACGATTGTTAAAGAATAAAATAGTATATAATATAGGTTGAAAACTTTGGAACATTGCCTGCCATAATGCAGGCACTGAATCTGTCACTCGTCAAAGAATAGGATCAAGTCTTATTGTTATGTCTTTTAGTTACAGCATCTAGCAAAGCATTAAGCTTATAGTACATCTCAATAAGTTGTATGCTGAAAAAAAATATATTTTCTACTTTTATGTTTGTAACAGAAGAAAGGCAATCTGGAACAAAATAATTTTAGAAAAGTATATCAACTTTAAATACATTCCAACAGTATATCACGCTATAACAAATTTTTCAATTCTGAGACTGATTTTCAGCTTCAATATTTAAGGATTTAAGTTGATCCTCTTCAGAATTCCTCTTCTATTTAAATGGTAAAAAAAAAAATCATAGCTATTTACTTTTACTGAGACAAATATGGAAATTTGACAATTATCTAATTTAGTCCTAAGTGATAACTTTCTATAAAAATAGAATCCACTTATAAAACCAATCATTATGTGTTTATTTATTAATGAAATGCCAATTTGAAGGACATTCTTAGAAATCACCATATTAACAAAACAAAATAACTCTTTCTAGCAATTAGCCTTTTCTGCACAGGGTGAAGAGACAGAATTTCTCTTCCATTTATTCAATCACTTAAATGTCCACTGCTGTTCCAACTCTCCAGTTCCTCAAGGACTCTCATTTACATCACTTTCCAGGATTCTCTCACTGACTGCCCCAAGCTAACCATGAGTGAAAATTCTGCCTCCAGCCTCCTAGCTAAGCTGAAAATATGCATAGAACATGAACTGTGCTCAAATTTTTATTCATATGTATAAAGTTGAAAATAACCAAGTTGATCTTCTGTGAACATCCAAATCAAATAGAAATCACTACTGTTTTCCCAGGTATATAACTAACTATATTTTTAAGCTTGAACATGTTTATTGATGAGACAGCCCATTCTAATTTCAGATAACTCCAATCCTGAGACAGTATTTTCCTATATGTAACTGTAAAGTAGCTTCTAAAATTTTCACATTATTCTTCTATTTAATTTCAACTTCTGGAGGAAAAAAGCTAAAATTAATTCACCATCAGTGTGCAAAATTTATGAAAAAATGAATATTCCCATTTCTATCAATGGTAAGAGGTAAAGTCAAGACTGTCACACTGACAATGAGAAAGCAAACAAACCCAGAGAAGGCTAAGTTTCAGAACAGATTTGCTCTAAATTGTTCAAATTGGCAGAAACGTGTATATCAGGAGAAAATGGTAGTATATGAGTTAAGAAGAATCTGGTAATGCATGGTCTTCTGTAATTGTTTTTCTCCTATAACCTGTGCAGTGAAAACTATCAGCTTGCATGCTAGAGAACTCAGTATGGCAATATAACAGAAATTATAATAAATTATGGTAATTTACATGTTCACAATAACTAACATGCATAATATTAAATGCATCTCATAAATTGTGTGGTAAGGTCTGTGTGATTACAACACAGCTTTATCCTGTAAGCTCAGCCTTTCACTGCTGTAATAATGAGATCAGTGTCTACCAATTTAATGACCCTAATTAAAGCATAAAATTTCTTGCCTATCTGGCTTTATTTTGAACCAGAAAAATTCTATCTCTTACATTTTTCTTCTTCTGCTACTGAGACACCCTCTACCCAGCTAATTTCTAGTATTGCTATTGTGATACCCTAGAGCTTGCTAATGGGATCCCTCCCCCAAACAAAACAGATCTGTCTTTTCCTCAATAATATATACTTTCTTTGATCCCTGTTGTTTACCCTCTTGAAGCCATGAAACTGCCTTGACTACTTTTACTATATACTTTGATTTTTCATCAATTTTGTATAACGTATTATAAAATATAAACCCTCAGCAGTAAGCTGGACAAAATTTTCACTTGTATTAAAAATTATCATCTAAATCTTCCAAACCTAATGAAAATCCCTTAACACATGAAGAGAAGAAATAAACACCTCACCTCTGTTTCCAGGAATCTTCTCAAGGCTCTTTTCTTTTTGATGCTCTTCCTTCTCACATAAACTGCAAATGTTAGACCCACTATGACCAGGATGAAAAGCCCTCCAATGACTCCGGCTGCAATTAGAGGAGTTCTGCCAACCAGAATGGAAAAGAAAAAAACAGGTATGAAGAGAGAAAAGAGAGGAAGAGGGAAGAGCAGTTGTGCATATCACAAATCACGTCAGTTAGAAGTAATGCAAATAAAAATGCATTGCAGGTATAACAAAGCTTTTCTTATGGTAAAAATTGTATGTGCTTTTTCTTTAAAATAATAAACCATGCGCATACAAATAATTTTTTGGAGATGAGCAGCCACAACATGCCATTTCATGAAAAAATGTAAAACTTGGTAACAACGAAAAACATATGCCAAAATGTTGATATGGAAGCATTTTAAATGTTTTAATCTTATTTTTATCTATAAATGAATGGAAGGTAGATTTTAATTATATTGTGGTATATAATATTACTTTCAACATTTTCTCTAAAGCAGGCTTTCTCAACAGTGGCACTATTGGCGTTTTGGGCTTGATACTTGCTTGTTGTGGGGAACTGTCCTATGCCATTTAGGATGTGTAGCAGCATCCTTGGCCTCCAACCACTAGATGTCAGTAGCACCTCTGTCCTTTAGTCATGACAATGTTTTTAGACATTGCCAAATATCTACAAAAATCACTCCCAGTTGAGAATCGCTGCTCTAAAGCAAAAATGAGTGGTCTGGAGACATACAGACCCCACACCTCAGGAGTACGAGGATACCGATAACAGAGTTATATTAACCAAGTGCTATTTCAAACTCTGAAATGAGCAATTTTGTTATCAGGAGAAAGATAAAGAACTAGGTCAAAGTTATGATGACAGGAGTACATATTATTACCAAAAGTGTGTCCAGGTGTCTTATACCCATAAAGGAGGTTTACACATTAAATATTACATAAAAAGGAGTAAACAGTACCAAAAGGGATTAGAAATAAATTGACTGGGGATTTTTATTCTTAAAATTGTTAGCTAAAATTTAGAAACTAATCATATTTTATTGTTTTCTAAGAAAAAATATTTCTTTGCTTAAAAAGTAATATTATTGGTTTAAACTTCTTGTTCTAGAGTAGAGTACTATCTATGAGATTTCTGTGGCCAGAGCCCTGAAATATATTAATTTCTTATGCCATAGCAAATAGCCCAGAGTAAAGTACATAGGCATTACCTAATACATATTTGACCATGAAGCCATTATAGATATCAAAACTAAAAAAAAATTTCCTGAATGCCTGTGCTTTCCAAAGTATTTTATATCTTATATTTCTATTTGCAAAAGAATCTACTCTTTACAGCTGCACTCTTTTAGAAAAAAAAATGACTTGCTCCTGTAAAATAAATTTTTGCTTAAAGACAAGACAGAAGTAATGATAGCAGATGATTTTAAATAAAACTTTAAAATTTGATCTCTTTAAAAAAATTTGTGTAACTTCTTCTGTAAATGAAGTCATCTTTTAAATATTATGACTGTTATATTGTCATATAAAACTACAGAAAAACCTTAAAAAGTGGTTCATATTAAAGGTTGTGTTCTGACAGTTGAAAGTATTATAGCATACTGAAATGTTGCTATAATTCAACTAGATTTTCCAACATGAAATTTTATAAAGATATAAAAATCTATTCTGAGACAATTAAACTATAGTATGGACACAAACTCATCATTGTGATGTGTTTTGGTGTGTGTAAGATCATTTTTGTGAGCATGCCAGTTAAATATGTATTTCTGAATAATTTTAAGTTTTCAATCCAAAGCATAATTTTCAACTGAAGTGCCTAACATATCTCTGAAAAGCCACTGTTATAAAAAGAGTTGCATTTTGTTTTCTCAGTTCAATTTTTTTATTGCAAAGGATGTGTGTATGATTGAGACTAGTGCCCAACAGTTAGTTAATTGTAGATTTGAACTAAACTCTAAACTTCCTCTGTTTATCTATTTTGTAAAAGAATAAATGGTATGTACTTATGAAAATATATGTCAATGTCACTATAAATTAAGAGAAAAAAAAATTTTTTTTTTAAATGTGGAATCACTTAAAATAGAACAAAACAAGACCCCTGTCTCTAATCTTTCTAATGTGGGCGGATAGCAATTGTCATGTCATTACTACTTAGTTTTGTTATGGCAATAAAAATAAAACATTGAAATACTAATTTCTATGTTTTTCTCATTAGAATTTACTTTTATTTTCCCACAGCAGTTGTATCGTTGATCTGCATTTCTTTGCCTTTTTCCTTCTCTTACCACTCTGCAGTAATGGTAGAGGTACAAACAACCTGAAGAAGTTAGAAACTAGAGTTTCCACACTTACAGGTCACACATAAATGTTTTGTTGGACATTCTGAAAGGCCAAGTTCTTCATATTTCAGAGGAATTTATTCTTGAAAACAACCCATTGACCACAAAGAAGCAACCAGTGAAACCAATAAGGTGGAATATTCTATAAGACAACCTGAATATTCTCTTTAATAAGTGAATTATCATGAAAAAAGATACTAATCTTG